GGCGTGGCCAAGGCGGGGGAAGCGGGTGGGGGCGGGGCGAGCGCCGCCAGGTGGCCCCGGGCACCGCCCGCTCCCCGGTATAATGACGTCACCCTGCGCTGCGGCCCTCACACCTTTAGCAGCTGTCCTCGGTAGCCGCCGTACAGGGCACGCCGGGCAGCTGCACGAATGCAGACCGCTTCCATTTGGGGCGACATTTCTTATGGGGGCACAAAGGCAAGGCAAGGCAACGTCTGTTTCCATCCTCAGATCATTCTGGCCTTGGACGGTTTCTTTGCTGATTGCAGGTTGACCATGCGCGGACTGAGCGCTACTTGTATTGTCATTTAATGGGATTTTAATTGTATGCAATCAAAAAACGAGACCATGAACAAAGCAGTTCGACACTCAATGCGCTTATTGAATCATTTAAGTCGTAGTAAAATGTTGGTTTCTGTTTGCTGCTTTCCGCACATTCTTTTATTTAATTTTTTCCCCATAATTATACATTTATCTGTTTGTTTTATTATATAATTAACTGATGGCCTGTCCCAAGAAGGAAACTGTAACAGGGCCCTGCCCTGCGACTACTAGGGGGTGGGGGAGTCTGAACAGCCCCGCACCCCAGAAGCACCTCCGCACACCCACCCACCCCAGCCCTGGGAGCACTCATCGGAGGCTGGGGAACCAGGTCCTGGGACCTAGCGGGTCCCTCAGCAAGGGAGCTGACACAGTTGTAGGGACTGAGAGAGGGTTAGCCACTGCCATGAGCCCAGAGTGGGAAGGAAAAAAGACACTGAAAGTAGCTTCAAGGGGCTGCACCTGGCCAGGCAGCAGGCTGCCTGCAGCCTGGAAATATCAGGGGTTAAGCAGCCACCGGGAAAGCCCAGCCTGGAGCTCTTCTCTGTTTGTTTGTTTGCTTGATCATTTGCTTTATTGCACAAGCCTACAGGTTCTGCAAAGCCTCTGAAAGATAAGAGGCAACCAGAAGGTGAAGCCTGGAAGACAGGCTAAGTGCTAGCTTATTTGTTTAACTTTGTTTGCTTGTTTTGCATTGGTAACATGCCTGGGGTGGCCTTTGGGTATTATCTACTAGCCTGGCTGCAACAGAGGCAAGGGCTCTGAACAGTGGGTCCTTGGTCAAAGCCAGCAGCAAAAGTAAAACTGGTCAGATTAACTAGCATGACCAAGCATACCCGGCTATGGTCTGTCCAGACTCTGCCCATAGCAGCCTACAGAAACATTCAGTGTCATCCTGTGGAAAAAAAAAAATCCCATTCTGGTTGTGGCCCACAGTAACATTCAAGGGTCTTTACAGTGTTACCAACTCTTTTCAAATAAATATTTTTCTGAAACCCTACTAATTCATAAGAGCCATAACCCTGTTTGTGTTAAAGATGATTTGGAAAGTACAAAAGAACTTTCAAAACACAACTAACAGTGTAGAATAGTGTAGGTGTCACATTTTCCATGACAAATGTGCTAATTATTTCCTTTCATCCTGGGTATTTCAGTTATTCAGCACATGATTTTTTAAAATTACTTATTAAAGTATATTTCAGGCAACACTTAACAAAGAAAGAAAGGAAGAAGCACATTGCTGTGGCTTCCTCACGACTGCTTGAAAGCATCAACAGTTTCTTTGCTTGAACCAGCTATGATGTCTATTAGTATTGACGAGCAGTGAAGGAGATTCTTTAATGTGTCATAGATTTTTTGTGTCAGAGACAGGAGTAGTTTTTCAGGATCTATATAGTCTCATTAAAAAGGCCTTTTTATGGTGGTTTTTAATGGATGCAGAACCTGTCACAAGCATGTCATAAGTCATGAAGTCCATTTCTATTGTATCTAATGATACACTAAAACAATTTTATAAAGCAGCTAAGGTGGGGTGATTATTAAATATTGCCAGGTCCTCATTATCTCATGGATCACCTCCAAGTCTTTTAGTGACTTTTAACTGTTCACAAAAATTTCTTATGATAACTATAAATATTACTTAAACTATAGAGTAAGTAAACTGAAATACTTAAATTTGTTCCTATCTTTAATAAGGAACAGGTAGAGAGGAAGTTTAGCTGTGTTAGTCTGAAGTTTGGCAGAAGGCAGGGCAGCGTGGCATCTTAGAGAATAATTGGTTCAGGGAGACATGAGCCTTCTTAGGCGATAAACTAGTTCATCATATGCATTTGATGCTGTCACCTATGGAAATTCATGTCCCTCTGAACCAGTTAAAGTGTCACCC